CTTCCATTTGGCTAGCTCTGCATTAATTAAATTCTTTCTCTAAGGCAATACTGCAATCTCAGTGATTTGTTTTATCTGTGCAATGGGCAAGAAAAACCTGAGGCAGTGATGTGACCATAGAAGCAAAAGCTGGCTTTGAAGACGGAAGAGAAGGAGTCCTAGCCAAAGAAGCCAGTAGTCTCTAGAAGTTAGAAATGTCAAGGAAATGGAGCCTCCAAAAGGAACACAGCCCTGTTAACACCTTTATTTTTTGAGCCTTAAGAGAATGTGCTTATGGAGCTTGAGTCATGTGGCAGACAGCTGTAACACAGGCAGCTATAAGCTTTGTTTCTCTGATTATAGACTAGCTTTCTTCCCTACCTACATTGTTTTGTAAAATGTTGCAAATGACTAAAGGACACCAGGGAAGATCCCTTCCCCCTTCCCTGTTGATCTTAATTGCAAATTAACTTCCCTCTTAGCTTTCTCACACAAAGACCTCATAGCTATCACATTGTCTGAAGATGGAAGGTTGAATACACTCTTTTAAATTGGACAGAAAATGAAAACCAGCTGTAAAGAAAAGAAAACAAGCCATCGGAAAACAAATTGTAACTAATTAAATTGTTGTAGCTCATAAGCCAGCCTTATACAGGAAGTGTTATAATCCTACTAAATGTCTCTGTTTTCTGCATGTATCATCAAGAACTTAACTTTTAACTTTGGAGCACTGATTCCATCTCTCTGCAGTCTTTTTCTCCCAGATGGCCATTCCCAGCTTTTTGTTTGAATACTCTTTAAACTGGACTCTGATCCTTTCAATTATTTCAGAACAGAAGTCGTTTCTTATAGCGGGAATAGGAAATTAGTGCAACAACCATGGACAAGTGCATTCGTCATCTGTAGAGAAAAGATGATCATGTGTATCTCACAGCATTGTTGTAAGCAGCAAACCCAATTTTGTATACACAATGCTCATTAGAGTATTCAATAATCAGTACCTATTCTCTCTCATTATTTAGCATATCACCTTATACCTGTGTAACACTTTGCAGAGCACTTAGGTAACAGGCAGACTAGCCTGGGCAACATAGCAAGACCCTGTCTCTACATTAAAAAAAAAAGAAAGAAAGAAAGAAAGAAAAGAAAACAGACCAAGCTGGGAGTAGTGGTGCATACATTTAGTCCCAACTCAGAAGGCTGAGACAGGAGAATCCCTTGAGTCCAGGCATTGAAGGCTGCAGTGAGCTATGATTGCACCACTGCATTGCAGCCTCAAGTCCAAACTTGCCTGCTATTTTATTCCTAAATAAGATAACTACAAAGATTTTTTTAAAAAAAGGAAAAAAAAGCTACATACCTCCCTCAAAATTTGCCCACAAAGAAATTCCTTCTGGGCTTCCAGATCTTTACGCTAAAAGAGTTCTCTTGAATTTCACCTTGGCAATCTAAATGGATGGCTTATCTTCACAGGTGCAGGAAAAAGGACAGAACTCAAAGTCATCCCTCTGTCCACAAATGCATATCTGATGTTTCCTCTGCCCCAGTGTTTATGTGAAAATGCAGCCTCACTGAGCCAGACGAAGGCGTAAGTGCCTATTCCTTTACCTCCCCTCACACGTAAATTGTATATTCAGTGAAAGGCTGATCAAAGACTCAAAAGAATGCAATCGTTTGTCTCTTATCCACCTATGACCTGGAAGATCCTGCTTTGAGTTGTCCTACCTTTCCAGACTGAACCAATAGACATCTTACACATATTGATTGATGTCTCGTGTCTCTCTGAAATGTATAAAATCAAGCTGTGCCCTGACCACCTTGGGCGCATGGCATCGGGACCTCTTGAGGCTGTGTCCTTAGCCTTGGCAAAATAAGCTTTGTAAATTGATGGAGACTAGTTTCAGATACTTCTGGGTTCACAACGCACTTTTGTATTTTGTCTGAGTTCCTAAGCACTGCCACACTGGAGGATGCCAAAGAGCTGTACGACCATTACTTACATTCTTACTGACCTTGACTTCAGACAATGTGATTTTTTTTCAGACTTTTCCCAGAAGGATCAAGAGTCATAGTTCAATAGTTCAACTCTATTATCATTTTCTGAACACAATCCATTTCCCATTCATGGAGAAAACCATACCATTGGTCCCTTTCACAACAACCCTTCCACTCTTCAGATAATAGTGCATCCCCAAGTTCAAAATTCTTGGGTTTTAATTTGTGCAGCATTTGGGAAACAAGGGAAGTTACTGGCATTTGGCTCTCTCTGGCCTCCATCATTTTCTGGTAAACTTTGGAACACAGATCATAAGTGAATGGGATAACTGCTGTTTCTGTTCCCAAATGCTACCTCTAGTACTGGACAGCTACTTTTAAATCTTGGCTGTCTCAAATCATCCCATATGACACTGAATGTGGACAAGCTTTGGAGGCAGGATTTATCATCTCACTAACCCCCCATAGAGCCTTGGGAAAGTCTAGTCTAGTCTAGTCTAATAATCACAGAGCCAAGTATAACATGAAGCTGAGCTGATGTTCTCTCTTGTTCTGGTACTGATGGGTAGGCCCAAGCTTAAGACAGAGAAAATTAAGTACTCAGTCTTCTAAAGAGAACTGTGAGCTTTATGACTGCCCCACAGAGGCCCTCTTCACCAATCTGAGCAATGGGAGATGTTGTGGACATCATCAGACTTGAATACGGGATCACTCACAGGGTCACTATCCTCTACCACTGAGCTCCAATCACTTCTGTCTTTGCTGCTCCCTCCTGTCTCTTCCCTGCCAGTTTTAGTAGAAAGACCAAGCTAATGGCTTGGAATGAATCTGTTCTGGACAGAACCATGTGCATCAAGGGGCAACTCCAGATGGGGATCAACTTTCCCAGGCATTCCAGAGCTTAAAGAAATTGTTGCTAGCCCAAAGAAGAAAAATGTAAAAATCAACCCAAAACTTGAAGATAGTTATCTCCAAAGATTTCCCTGGTGGAAGCCAGGCTTGGGTCACATTCAGGATCCCTTGATATCTCTTAATCTTCTCTTAGTGGCCTTCGACAACTAAGATTATCTTCCTCGTCAGAATTTCTCTGCATTCTCTGCAATCCATCATGACGCAGATTAAAATGAATGTCTTATTTGTCAGAGAAATTAGTTCCTATATTAGTCAGTTTCCGGCTGCTGATAAAGACATACCTGAGTGTGGGGAACATATTTTCCCAGGCGCACTCCCTCTTCCAGGTATTGGGACCCTCTTGCAGGTTGAGAGACCCCCGGGCAGACATGCCTACCCGTCCGGACGGTCCACGACACCTGAGACTGGATAATTTACAAAAGAAAGAGGTTTAATTGACTTACAGTTATACGTGGCTGGGGAGGCCTCACAATCACAATGGAAGGTGAAAGGGATGTCTCACACAGTGGCAGACAAGAAAAGAGAGCTTCTGCAGAGAAACTCCTCTTTTTAAAAACATCAGGTCTCGTGAGATTCATTCACTATCGTGAGAACAGCACTGGAAAGACTTGCCCCCACGATTCCATTACCTCCCACTGGGTCACTCCCACAACGTGGAAATTCAAGATAAGATTTAGGTGGGGACATAGCTAAATCATGTCATTCCACCCCTGATCCCTCCCAAATCTCACATCTTCACATTTCAAAACGAGTCATACCTTCCCAACAGTCCCCAGAGTCTTAACTCATTTCAGCGTTAACTCAGAAGTCCACACCTCAAAGTCGTATCCAAGACAAGGCAAGTCCCTTCCACCTATGAGCCCGTAAAATCAAAGGCGAGTTAGTTACTTCCTAGATACGATGGGGCACAGGAATTAGGTAATAAATACAGCCATTCCAAATGTGAGAAATCAGCCAAAACAAGGGGGTTACACGCTCCACACAAGTTCAAAATCCAGCGAGTCAGTCAAATCTTAAAGCTCCAAAATCATCTCTTTGACTCCATGTCTCACATCCAGGACATGCAGATTCAAGAGGTGGGTTCCCATGGTCTTGGGCAGCTCCACCTCTGTAGCTTTGCAGGGCACAGCCTCCCTCCTGGCTGCTTTCACAGGCTAGTGTTGAGTGTGCACCTTTTCCAGGCACACAGTGCAAGCTATCAGTGGATCTACCATTCTGGGCTCTGGAGGATGGTGACCCTCTTCTCACAGCTCCACTAGGCAGTTCCCCAGCAGGGACTCTTGTGTGGGGGCTCTGACCCCACATTTCCCTCCCTCACTTCCCTAGCAGAGGTTCTCCATGAGAGCCCTGCCCCTGCAGCAAAACTTTGCCTGACATCCAAGCATTTCCATACACCCGAGGTTCCCAAACCTCAATTCTTGATTTCTGTGAACTCTCAGGCTCAACACCACATGGAAGCTGCCACAGCTTGAGGCTTGCACCCTCTGAAGCCACGACCAGAGCTCCACATTGGCTCCTTTTAGCCACAGCTGGAGCAGCTGGGACAAAGGGCACACTCAGTCTGCCTCAGCCTGGACTTTAGTGTCCATATCACTGTCAGCATTTAGGGCAAAGTCATTCAACAAATCCCTAGGTGGTTTCAAACTTTCCCACATTGTTCTGTCTTCTTCTGAGACCTCCAAACTGTTCTAACCTCTGCCTGTTGCCCAGCTCTGAAGCTGCTTCCACATTTCCAGGTATCTTTTCAGCAGCGCCCCACTCTACTGGTACCAGTTTACTGAATTAGTCTGTTTTCATGCTGCTGAAAAAGACATACCTGAGACGTAGCAATTTACAAAAGAAAGAGGTTTAATTGACATACAGTTCCATGTGGCTGAGGAGACTTCACAATCATGATGGAAGATGAAAGACACATCTCACATAGTGGCAGACAACAGAAGAGAGCTTATGCAGAGAAACTCCCCTGTATAAAGCCATCAGATCTTGTGAGACTTATTCAATATCACAGGAACAGCACAAAAAACACTTGCTCCCTTGATTCAATTACCTCCCAGTGGGTTCCTCCCACAACACAGGAGAATTCATTCGAGATGAGATTTGAGTGGGGACACAGCCAAGCCATATCAGTTGCCTTACCTCAGCAGTAGTTTTCAGGGAGCATAAAGAAGACCCAGATCCCCAAAAGCCTTACAACAACAGGATCTTTAATTGTTAGAATTTTTTTTCATCCATATGAGCCCTTGAGACCTGGGCTGAAACCACTGCAGTAACTGTTTCTGAGCAATGTTTTTCCTTCTTAGGGAGATGAAAGACTGTTTCCTTTTCCTACCCTAACTTAAGTAACTTTTGTACCTAAAGAAAGTTGAAAGATTGGCTGGTGTGCTGTAGCTTTGTTTTATACATTTTAGGAGGACATAAGACATCAATTGATACATATAATATGTACATTAGTTCCTCAAGATCCGTTCAGGATGACCCAGAAGACGGACTCGTTCAGACTGTATCAACAGCTTCCCTCGTTCTGCTGCTTCTGGTTAGATTCAACCACTGGGACTCACTGACAGGCAACTGAAAGGCAGAAAAAGAATCAGGCTAGGGGTATTCATTTGCTCTAGAGAGCTGAGGATTTGCCCTGTAGAGCTGAAGATTGGCAGTAACAGCATTCCTCTTGGTTCTCTTCTCTGGCCCTCTTCCTACAGCTTCCCACACTCTCTCTCCAGGCTCTGGTAACCACTCAGACCTACATAAAACAACCCACCTCTTTCCAGTCCGAGCGTCCTAAGCCATACCATATTGATTTCCCTTAAGCCTGCTCACAACTTGGAAATATCTCTTTGTTGAACCCTCTTTAATTACGCTGTTTCAGTGTGCCATCCTTTTCCCACTGAAACCCTGACTGACAAAGTAATTGGGACCAGGAATAGCCCCAGAGGAAAATAATGCTCAAATGAAATTCTAGGATGGGATTGCTTACATATCAGAGGGATATAGAATGTAGATTATCTATAAAATATGATTGTACCATGGTTACTCGAATTATCACCGGTACTGGCACTGGAAAAATATAGATGGATAGCAAGATGTTGGCAGACCAAGTGGCTTGGCTATGCTGGTAATAAATAATACCAGTCTGTGGTGTGGAACAGCTCTTCTGACAGCCCTAGAGACCATACGTAAACACATTGAAGGTCCTGCATGCCTCACTCAGAGCATGGGTGGAGAGCTAAAGTCCTTGATGGTAGATTTACAGAAGTTCCTTATCTCCTGTAGGACAGATATGACTGGGGGCCGAGCCCAGGGACTGATGATAAAGGTGACAGACATGCAGTACCAATTACATTTTCAGCACCACCAGATTTCTTATGCTTTCCTCTGGTTGACAATGGTAAGTTGACGAAAAGAGTCAAACTCTGGAAAATATTTGAAGACCTTTACTCTGAGCCAAGTATGAGTGACCAATTGCTATGACACAGCCCTCAGGAGATCCTGAGACCATGTGCCCAACCGAGATGGTAGGGCTACAGCTTTGTTTTATGCATTTTAAGAAGACATAAGACATCAACCAATACATATAAGATGTAAGTTATTTCAGTCCGGAAAGGTGGGATTGCTCAAAGCGGGGACTTCCAGGTCATAGGTAGATTCAAAGATTTTCTGATAGACAATTGGTTGAAAGAGTTTGGCTATTATTTAAAGAACTGGAATCAGTAGAAGAGAATGTTTTTTATTAGACTTAAAATGTGTTCTGTCAGTCTTAAGGTATATGTTTTAATATTAATGCTGGTCAACTGTGCCTGAATTCCAAAGGGAGGAGAGTATAATCAGTCATGTCTGACCCCTCAGTTTGTATTACTGACCTGAATTAGTTTTTCAAGTTAACTTTGGAATGCCCTTGGTATTGAGGTGATCTGAAATTTTATTTTTGGCTTACAGGTGGGACGCTGATTCACAGATCGAGACATTTAAGCAGACACAGACGTGACTCCCAAGTAACCTCAGGATCCACTTCCACATCCCTCATTGCCTACAGGCCCATAATGAGAGTTACATCCCAGTATATCCCAGATGGGGAAGGATAAAGTGGGGTCTGAACATCAGAAGAGTTGCAGGAAAATTGGCAGAAGTGTGCAGAGCATGTGAGGAAGGGAGTCCTATGGATATTAGTTGGAGAAGGATTAAATGCAAAACTTTATCAAGGAGAATGTAATGATATGGGTGGATTCAGTCAAGATTCAGGATTTACTGTGCTGGCTTGAGCACCTGGGAGTGGTCTTCATAACTACGCTGGCTAGCAGAAGTCTCATTCAGCAGTGGCTGGCAGTTAATGAGGACTTTTCTAGCATTCTAAAGAAAAGGAAACTGAAGGCTTAGGAAGTTGGGAATGTTGGAGAGGATCTATTCTGTGCAACATTCTTAACCACGCCTTAACCACACTCCCCAGGAAGGCCAGAAGACACTCCCTTCAAAGGCCATAAGAATTCATTAGTGAAATGTTCACAGGCATCCTGAAAAAGCACTTCTTGGCTGTTTTCTGTAAGCAGGAAATGACACTGGGAGAGGCTGCAATGGAATTAAGCTCCATGATTGTAATGGAAAAAAATGGAATCCCAGAGTAGTAGAGGCCAGATGTCTCAAAGGCACAAGGGACACAATTACACTAATGAGCTGCAGGACTGGTATGGTAATTGGAGCGTTTTATCCTATAAGGATCTGTGGCACTGGCTAACTAATCATGGAGTGCCTAGGATTGCAATAGATATGTAGACCATTAAGGGTGCTGCTTGACGTGTGTTAGCAGAAAGCTTCTGAGTCTGGTGAGCAGAATCATACTGGGAATTTACCTAGTGTTCAGACACCAAAACCCAGAGACCCAGAATCCCCCGACTTTGGGAGAGCGAGGAACGGTCTCTTCGGACAAGTGCCCTGCAATGTGGCCATAGGCAGATACTGTGATTCTTTTTCCAATCCTCCAGAGAGACCAGAGATCTTTTGGCAGAATGAGAAGGGGAAATACCTAGACCTTCCAGGGACCACTATATGCTATTTCTGAACTCATGCTAACCACCAGAGTCTCAAACTGCCACTGTAGTCCACAAGTCAGAATGAGCTCGTGGAGACCAGGTGATAAGTGGAGTAGTGGCCCAAGTCTATCTTACCTTGCATCCAGTAGGACTGAAGATGTATCCTGCAGTTACTTTTCCAGGCCCAGAAAGTATGATGGTAATAGATATATTAAGCAGAATTTTATCTGGAATGGTAGGAGGGGCCAAGTAGCAGCAGCTCACTTCCAAGTGGAACTGTCTTCTCCCACACTGCAAAGACAGTGAATCCGAAGAAATATAACCATGGGGGAATTACAGAGATTAGTGCAGTCATCAAATGCTTAAAAGATGCAGCAGTGGTGAATCTTACCACATTGATATTTAACTCATATGTGTGGCTGGCACAAAAGCCAGATGGATGATAGAGAGTTACTGTAGATTATAGAGAATTTAGTCATATTGGTGATGCCAATTGTAATTGCAGTTTCAAATGAGTATTACCATAGCAAATCAAAAATGCCCCTGGCACCTAGTACACAGCTGTGGTCTCAGAAAGTGCTTTTTCTTCCATTTCCACCAGTGAAGCTGATTATCTTCATATGGCAGTGCCAACAGTACCCATTCATCAGAGGCTGTACATCAGGGCTGTATCAGGGATCTGCTCTCTGTTGTGATATAGTCCACAAGAACTTGACATCTTGATCTCTTAGAGAACACCACTGTTTCACTGGTGACAGAGTGTTAATTGGACTTGGTGAACAGGAAGTAGCAAATATTTTAGATGGCCTAGTAAGATACACGCCTGCAAGAGATGGGAGATAAACCCCGTGAAAGTGTAGGAGTTTCCATATCATAAAGTTTCTAGGGCTTCTGGGGCCTGGCAAATGTTAGGACTGAGTAACAAATTGCTACATCTTATACTTCCTACCACAAAAAAGAGATACAACATTTGGTGGACCTGTGGGTTTTGATCATTCTTGGTTATGTTGCTCTGAGCATTTAAGCTGCCAGTTATAAGGGACATGAGACCAAAATATTCTCTGGTTATGATGCAAGACTCTCTGCCTCTTGGTGTCTATGAATAAGCAGACCCAGTAGTAGAGGAAGCATTTTAATGTAGCCTATTAATATGGTTTGGCTCTGTGTCCCCACCCAAATCTCATGTCAAATTGTTGGGAGAGGGACCTTCTGGGAGGTGATTGGATCATGGGGATGGATTTTCCCTTTGCTATTTGGTGAGTGAGTTCTCATGAGATCTGGTTGTTTAAAAGTGTGTAGTACTGTCCCCTCGGCTCTTTCTCTTGCTTGCCACCATGTGAAGAAAGTGCTTGCTTCCCCTTCATCCTCTGCCATGATTGTATGTTTCCTAACCATACATCCTGACCATATGCTTCCCCAACCACGCTTCTTGTACAGCCTGTGGACCTGTGAGTCAATAAAACCTCTTTTCCTCATAAATCACCCAGTTTCAGGTATGTCTTTATAGCAGTGTGAGAACAGATGAATACACCTATATAAAATGTAATCAGTATCCCTGGAGGACTCCAACAAAACTGCATGCAGATACCAAGGCTTCGGGTATAAGGCCTCTTTTGCTGATATTTGCAAAGCAGCTTCTTGCTTGCCACTAGGCTCTGGCAGACGGTGAATTCCTCCCTGGTCACAGGATAGCAAGCAACTATGTGACCAGGGCCAGCTGTCATGACCTGAGCATTATCTCACCTAAAAATCAGCCCCAAGTAAATTGCATAAGCAGTATGCTGAGAATTTTCATATGTCAACTTGACTGGGGCACAGTGCCTAGATATTTAGTCAAATATTATTCCCATATGTTTATGTGAGGGTGTTTTGGGATGAGAAAACTTTGAATCCATGGATTTAGTAAAGCAAATTGCCCTCCATAATGTGGGTGGGCCTCATCTAATCAGTTGAAGGCCTGAATAGAACAAAAGGCTGACCTTGCCTAAGCAGGTGGGGATTCACCAGCAGACTGTCTTTGGACTCAAACTGCAACCTTTTCCTGAGTCCGCTGAGCTACCACCATCAGATTTTGGACTCACCAGGCCTTCACAATTGAGTAAGCCAATTCCTTGCAACAGATCGTTCTATATATATGTATGTTCTATTGGCTTCATTTCTTGGAAAACCCTAATTGAAGCAGATAGCTCCGACTCTTGGAACCTCTTCCTGTTACTTACTTGCCTTTCCCACAACTTACATTTTTGGCTTTGTAGAAATCCCCTATGACTAATTAATGAAGAGAAAAACCCAGGCTTGGTTTAAAGACACACAGCATCGGCCAGGAGCAGATGGCCGGTGTCATTGTATCCCTATTCAGAGGTGACTGTAAACGTGAGTAGTGAAGGAAAATCATCCCAGTGGGCAGCAATTTGGGAAAAACATCAGATTATTCACTTGCAATGGAACGAGAAATGGTCGGGAGTACAGATGTGCACAGATTCATGAGCAGACGCTAATGGATTGGCCAACTGGTCAAGGACTGAAGAACAAGGTTGGAATATTGGTCACAAGGAGGTCTGGGGGAGGGTATGCCGATAAACTTCACTACGCACAGATTGTGAAGACATTTGTGTCCTACATGAGTGCCTACCAGAGGGCATCGCTGGACTTAATCACTGAGGCCACGTACAAGGTGGCTTGTTCCACGTCTTCTCTAGGATGAAGACCGATAGCAGAAGTCTCTGCTGAGTTCCCCATGTGACATCAATGCTCCTAGGCACACGACCTGGTTATGTCCGCATAAGCCCATTGCAAGTTGAACACATCCTAAGTTGAAAATGTGTTTAATGCACCTAACCTACCAGACAACACAGCGTAGCCTGCCCACCTTAGCTCTGCTCAGACACTACCATTGGCTTGGCGTTGGGCAAAGCCGTCTGGCCACACAGTGCACTGCAGAGTGTTGGTGGCTGACCCTTGGGATTACTTGGCTGGTCAGGAGCTGCCACTGCTGCCTCTGCCCAACATCACAGAGTATTGAACCACATATTGCTAGCCCAGGAAAAGATCAAAATTCAAAAACTGAAGTACGGATCCTACTGAAAGTGTATCACTTTCGCACCATTATAAAAGTCGGTAAGTTTAACTATAGTAAGTCAGGGATGGTCTGTATTATTCCCTGAGCTGAAGTCACCATCAGTCTGGAGGCAGATTAATAATACAAAATCCCTTCGAACACAGTGGGGCAGTGATGGGTCCTTATGTGAACAGATCTCTAACCTACATGCTTTTGGTTTCCCTGTTTGTAACACTCTACCAACACTATCCTTAGAGTGCTTTATTCATCACTATAGATTATATTGCCTATGCTTAGAAAACTCATCTTAAGATTTTTTTAAAAAGGTGCAGTACATGGTTTCTTTTTATTTTTTATTTTTTGAGACAGGATCTCACTCTGTCACCCAAACTGGAATGTCCAGTGGTGCCATGGCACAAACACAACTCACTGCAGCCTCGACTTCCCAGGCTCGGGTGATCTTCCCACCTCAGTTTCCCAGGTAGCTGGGACTACAAACACACACCACCCCGACTAATTTTCTGTATGTTTTGCAGAGATGTGGGTCTTGCCACATTGGCTAGGCTGGTCTCAAACTCCTGGCATCAAGTGATCCTCCTGCCTCGGCCTCCCAAAGTGCTGGGATTACAGGCATGAGCCACCACGCCCGGCCTGTTGCATCCTCTTAAGAGGTATTTGCTTCCGATCCTTGCAACCTTGAGCTCAGTGGGTTTGCAGGTCTTTGTGCGCAAGGGAAGAACAAGTGAACACTGGCAAGGTTCTGTTAAATGCGACGCTGAGACTGCCTTCCAACCATTTCAGCCTCTCTTTCTACTGATTCAACAGGCAGACGCGGGGCTCACACTGCTGACCAAGGTATCTGATATGATTAGAAAGGATAAATTGGCCTGCCACTATACAATGAGGGCAGGGAAGACTTTATGCAGAATCCAGGAATTCAAAGGCCAGTGCTTAGTATTCTCTTCATTCACTGTTCAGTGGAAAATCGAGGCAACCTCATAACAGCAGGACCACCAAGGATGCTGATCGTGAAGGCATAAAGAACGCTGATCAGTCGAGGTGCCTTCAGAGAATAGGGAATATGTAGTAGGCAGTAAGAGGAGGCAGCCACTATTAACTTTGCCTCAGAAGCAGGTATAGAAGTGGGCACTGTAGCAACTTCTATGTTAATTACTTGATGTTATTTCTTCACTTTCACCCCAAAACCTCACATGAAGAGCATCGTGGCTTACCCTTTAGGTTTGAGATGGAGCATGATGGATGTTAGCGACCTACTGTCGTTCAGTGGAAGGTGAAGGTGCGGGGTGGTCTCTTCTCCACTCTCTACTCTGTGTCCCACAGGCGGGCCTTTGCAGACTGCGCCAGTGGGTTCCATGGTCTTCAGCAGCTATGTGGGTTTGGCCAGAGGCAGGCACTAGCAGGAGACTGGACGCAGGAGGACAGTGGGCCGTAGCATTGTTTCTACCTGCTCCTTCCCACTGGATTGCACGTTACTAGTGGCCCCAACACTGTACCAGAGGTGACAGCTTCCATCACACAGAGTTTCATTTCCCAGGTCCAGACACCTGTTCCCTCCCTTTGCTCCTTCTCTTTAGGCCTAGAGGGGGTAATGGCTCCCTCCTATTGTAGTGCTTCTTTAACTATTTTTGACTTCCCTTAACTCTGTAAACTCTTGTCAATAATTTCTTTATTAAACTTTGCTGGGCTGGGCATGGTGGCTCATGCCTATAATCCCAGCACCTTGGGAGGCCGAGCTAGGAGTTCAAGACCAGCCTGGGCAACACAGCAAGACCCCTTCTCCACCAAAATACTTAAAAATTAGCTGGGCATGGTGATGTACACCTGGAGTCCCAGCTACTTGGGAGGCTGAGGCAGGAGGATTGCCTGAGTCCAGGAGTTTGAAGATGCAGTGAGCTATGTTCACACCATTGCACTCCAGCCTGGGCAACAGAGCAAGATCCTGTCTCTAAAAAAAGAATTAAATATTTTTAAAACTTTTCTCAGTTGCTCCATTTGAATTGCCTATGACAAACTTCTCTGATACAGCCTGGCCTGGTCCAGCTGAATTTGGAATGGAACTCTTCCCTCGGACTACTGCCAGTTCTCGCGGGTTCTCAGCAGGCCTGATTCATACTTCCTGGATCTGAGTCACCTTTCCGTATCCTGTGTAAAGGTCTTCAGCCCTACACATATGCAGACACCTCTCCACCAGCTTTCTGACTAGATAATCAGG